GTGGGACGTTTCCCATTTTACAGGTAGGGAAACTGAGGCCCAGGTAAACCTGACTTGCTGGAGTTGGACAGGAAGCCAGCAGCCCTGCTGCATCCCAGTGTGGAGGGGCCTGGCTACGCCTCGGGGGTACATGGAGAACCAAAGGAGAGGAAGCTGGCCTGGGTCCCCGGAGAGCCCTGGGTCGCCCAGAAGGGGCCAGGGCAGGGCAGCTGGGCCTGTAACTCGGGGTGACCATTTGGTTCCCAAACGTGCGAGGAGCAAGGGAGCCGCCTGGGGGCATCCCGCCCCCCACGCCCTCCCTAGTTCTCAGGGGCCGGGCTCCGGGCAGGCAGGCACAGACAGGCACCACAGAGGTGGCTCTGGCAGGGACCGTCCTCCCGCCCTCTCCTGTAGCCCGCCCCGTGGAAGGGGCCTCTCAACCTCTGCTCAAATCCCTCCAGTGACAGGAAATCCACCACCTTCCAAGTCTTTTTTTTTTTTTAAGCCACCGCTATTTGAGAAGTTCTAGAATGTTCTCTATTTCCTTCATCCCTCTGGTGTTGCCCAGAGGACTCTGCACACAGCTGCCCGATTCAGCTCTTCTTGCCCACAAATTCCTCTACCTCCTTTCCTCGGGCTCAGCCTCCCTCTATTCCTTCAAGGTCCCCTGGAGGTCAGTGTGTGCGTCCCCAGGCTGCCCTGGCCCCTCTGCTAGCTCCTGAGCGGTGGCAGCAGCTGCCACCTTCACATGACACTGCGACCCTGCCGGCTCTAAGCACCACCAGAGCCCCGCTGACTGCACATTTGCCCCTGGAGCTCTCACAGGCCTGCAGATCTAGCCTTGGGGATGAGCACCACGGTCACCCTTTCAGAACCTTCCGCCCTCTCTCCCTCCTCACACCCCTAACTCCACCCACCTCTGGGTCCCACAGCCCCACGGCCTGGTGTCACTGCCCCAGTTTTGCCTCCTGCAATCCACCTGTGGTGGCTGAGAGCCTGGTTACCATGGCAATCACAAGACAGTGCAAACCCGAGCCCACCATTTTGTTGACTGAAAAAACTTCCAATGTCACAAGACAAAGCTGGAGTCATAGCGTGCAGGTCAAGGCCTCTTCTAAGCCAGGCCTCACTCTTTTGTCACCCCCCCCCACCGCCCCCCTCCCAAGGCTGGGGCTGGCTGGGGCCCCGTGCCACGTAACTCCGCCTCTCTGAGCCTCAGTGTGCTCAGCTGCAAAATGGGAACGACGGCAGTGTCTCCCTCACGGGCCTGTCTCGAGGACTCAAGGCTTGCTGTGACACAGGGTCCATAGCGCTGTGGGCAAAGGTGGGATGTGGTCACTTCACGGCTCCCTACCTTTCCCGAGGCTGCCACTCAGTCTGGAATTCCTCCATCCCCTTCTCCGCCTGGGGGACGTCAGCCCCAGAGCTCTCCCTGACCCCAGAGCGGGTGGCCTGCCCGTGGGAGCTGGTTCTCCCCGGGGTGGGGGGAGCAGAGGGCCGGGTCCTTCCTGCAGGTGGCGCTGACCTTGCACGGCAGCTGCGGCTCAGGAGACCAACACCGCTCCGTCACGTTTCCTGGGGATCAGCCTGCGTGCGACACGCCGCTGGCCGTTTGTACCTCGACCTCCTCTCCTCCCTCTGGCCACGTCCACACCTCTGGTCATCAGCATCATGGCCCCTCCAGGGTGTCCATATCACGCATGCTTCTCTGACTGTCCCTTCCCATCTTTCCAGCCCTCCCTCTGGGATCCTGACGCCAACAACCCCTCATCCCCATCGGGGCGCACAGTCCCCAGGGTCCCCTTCCCCGTCCCTCTCTGAGGAGCCGGCAGAGGGGCTCGCACACAAGCTCTCAGCCCCCTTCTCCCGCCCCACTGACCCCCACCCCCCGGCTGCATCACTCATTTCTCTGAAGTCATGCTGTCCCCTCCTGATCCCACTACACCCTGCAGCTCCCACCCGGCTCTCCTCCTGCCCCTGCAGAGTCACCCGCCCCTGGGGGTTCCACGTCTCTTCTCTCTCCCTCCTAAGCCCACCAGTCCACCCAGGTCCCCAGCCCTCCCCGAAACCGTCTCAACTACTCCACTCCCGGGCCTGTGGGTCGCACTGTCGCACGCTCCCGTCTCAGGTCCCCTGGACGTGACCTCGCAGCAGCATTTGGGCCCAGGAGTCACTCTCCTTCAAGTTTCTCACTTGGCTTCTGGAACACCATGCCCTCTGGGGGGGCCAGCTGTCTCACATCTCTCCAGTGCCTCAGTGCCGGAGGGCCCGTCCCGTTGTCCACACTCACAGCCGCTGTGACCCAGCTTCATGACTTAAATGCAGAACAGCCCCCAACTGCACGTCTCCAGCGGGACCCTCCCTGAACTCTAGATCAGCCCGTCCTGCCTGTCCACTTGGGTATCAAACTTGCCCATGAGTCAGATGCTGCCCCATTCGCCTCCAGCTGCTCATGGCAGATCTTTTCCTCACACCCCACATCCACTATATCAGCAATCCTGTTGGCCCTACGTACAAAATATATCCAGAGCCCCAGGGCCTTTGCGCTGACTGGCTCCTCCCCCGGATGCTCCAACTGGCATTTCTACATGGCTCATACCCTCACCTTGTTCAGGCCTTATCTCTTGGTGCAGCCTGTCTAAAGCTGTTCTCCCGACAGGCAGTCCTGTCTCTGTTGTATTTGTCTCCATGGCCCTTGTCACCATCGAATATACTATTTATTCTTCATCTGTCTCTCTCACTAGAATATAAGCACCACGAGGGTAGAGATTTTGGTCTATTTTGTAGTCTCAGATCTTGCTTGGCATAGAGCAGGCACTCAACAAATTTTTTTGGTACAGATAGATGAATCTGAAGGATTAATTGCGAGCCTAAAGGGTTACAGACAGGACCAATGTTATAGATGCTGGTAGCCAGAAGGGGGAAGCAAAGAGCCATCCAGTGTAGATGAAAGATGAGGGGGAGGAGAGAACGCGCATATGCTGTGTGATCTCTAGCAAGTTCCTTAACCTCTCTGAGCCTCAGTTTTCTACTGTAAAACTAGTTACTGGGGGAGATCACATGTGCTCAGATGGGAAGGCTTTGTAATTGGCAAATCATGAGCATGATGAGTATGCTAGGTGTCCACGGTGTGAGGAGTTACCCAAATGTCCCCAATGGGGGACAGGGCAATTACGTAATCATGATGCAGCCAGACGAGGGACTATTATAAAGTGCTTTTAAAGACATGGGAAAATGCTTTTGTTTTAAGTGTATGTATAAATTTATAGAAAGAACAACAGATGTAAAATTAATAAGCTTGGGGAAAAATCTGGAAGAAATGTATCATCGTAAAAAGGAACAGCCATCTGGGGAATGAGATTTCTAAATTTCCTAAATTTATTTTTTCCTAAATTTCCACCACAGGCATGGGACCTGTGGCCCTGTGGCATCTGTTCCCGAGCCGGGCGCCTGGGGCTGTGAGGGCAGACTCCTGGGAGGTGTCCTCAGGCACCAGCCTCTCCGCCCTGTGGCCAGGCCCCCAGCTTACGTCAGCACTGCCCAGGCAGGTGGGAGAGGTGGGAGCAGCCCAGGCTGGGGAAAGGAGCGACACTGGTGTGCCGGGTGGTCCACAGTGTGGCTACAGGAGCGACACTGGTGTGTACCCCTCCCAGCACCCACTCGCTTCGGCCCTGGGGTCAGGCCTGGCTTACCTCGGCCCCTTGTGGGAAGAGCTGGAGCTCACTGGGCACCCCAGCCCCCAACCAGGCCCTCCAGAAGCACGCCCATCCCTTGGGGATCCTGTGACGCCCGGGCCCACAGTGCCCCCCGCTGAGGCCTGAAGTCCCCCACCGACCTCCAAGGCTCGGTCCAAGTCCCCTTCCTCTCCAGCCCAGCACCTGCCCGGCGCTCAGCATGGGCAGGAAGCGCCACTAGAACCAGTGGGGAAACTGAGGCCCTGGGGGCAGATGAGCTGTACCCTGTTGGGACAACACCAGAAGCCTCCTAGGGTCATCTCTTTTGACCCAGAACAAAACTAGCCCAGCAGTGGCCATGCCCCGCCGCACTCCGGCGGCCACAGCTCCAGGAAGCATTAGGAGAGCCGCAGACTAGAAAAGCGGCCTATCTTCAAAGCATCCTTCCCTTCTCTAGAATTCCTTCTCGAGACAGTGCTGTCAGAAAAGCTTCAGTAAGTGACCCAGGAAATCTCAGTGCCATCCTGCACAGGGTCTCTCCCCTCCACAGAAGGCCCCTCCGCCCTAAGCCTCACACCCAAGGCCCTCTCCCCAGCACCCCCTCCTGCTGGCGCCACCTCCCCTGGGCAGGGGTCCGCTCACGCTCAAACCCTCTGAGTGTGAAAGTGGCAGCAGGGGTGGGCTTCCTAGATGGTTCCAGGCCCCGGGGTCCTCCATGGGCAGGAACAAGGGGCATCTCTCCAACTACCAGAGAGGATGGATGTCCGTGGGTACCAATGGCACACACGACATTCAAAACTTGATGGGTCCCCGCTCTAACTTCTTGGCACTGTGAATGCTTCTGGCACTAGGCCACATGCTCAGGAAAAAGGAGATCCTACAAGGACTCAGATTAAGGTTCTGCCACTGTGTATGGGGCTTTTGGGAGGAATCTAGTTCAATTTCTGAAGAACAAAAAAGAAAATTCACATGTCTCACTTACACTTTTGAGTTTGCAGACTAACGCATATTCCACCTTTTTAGAAGAGGGTGAGAGAAAAAAGAAAAGTCTCTGGAAGTTTCCACTGTGCCCAGGATAAGGCCTGCCTCTTTGGCCTAACACGCCGCACCCCCTGAGCCTGGCACCTCCTGGCCGCGCTGACTCCATCATCCCCCACTGGTGCCCCAGCCACGTCCCCTGGACACCGCCCTGTGCCTTCCCTAGGCTGTGCCCTGTGTCAACACCACACATAGTTCTGCTCACCATCAGTCACCAGCTCAACGTCACCTCCTCCAGGAAGCCTTCCTAAGCCCCAGGGATAACAATAACAACCGCCAGCCCCACTGTGAAACACCTTACAAAGGAAAGTTGGTAAAGGAAGACTTTACAGACCTCTCGCCCAAGCGTCAGGACGATGCCTGGGCGCAGCAGGGGGAACAGCCCTCCAAGCTCACCCCCTCCACCCACCGTGCATCTAGTTCAGGCCACGCGGAGGACAGGCATGCCTCTCTCCACCTGACAGTGGAGGGACACGAAACCACATGCCCAGCCATACAGCTGGTTAGAGGGGCAGGGATTTGGACCCGGTCCGTCTGGCACCAGTGGTGCTTTCCCACGGCCCACATGCTTCCTCGGTCCCGCGATCCCAAAGTAGCTCGCAGCCGCTCCACCACACGGCCAGGGCACCCGCCTCCCGCACTGCCCACTGCCCTCCAGACCTGGGGCCGGGCTGCAGCAGGCCTCCGCGAGCGCCCGCCGGAGGGCTTGGGAGCAGCCTCTCTGGGGTGGGAGCAGCCCTCGACAGCCTCTGTGAAGCCTTGGAGGCTCCTGGGAGCCTGGACACCTTCCCAGCCCAGTCTGACAAGTGGCTGAGGAGGCGTGGCGCCAGCCTGCCAACCCACTGCTCGGGCCCCTCCAGGAGGACACCGGGCCCAGGTGCCAATGCCCAGAAAGGCGCTGCAGCTCTCTCCCGAGGGCTGTGGCCAGGGCCGCTTCCCCGTCGCCTCTTCCAGGCAGCCTGCCACCCTCTCCACACCGTGTGGGTAGAGAAAGCACTTCCACAGGTGCATGCTGCACAAAGGAGCCAATGGGAAGGCCGATGGGCGGGCAGGTGGGTGGACGGCTCAGAGATGGTGGGCAGGAGCTCCCCATGGGGCAACGGCTGAGATTCGAGAAGCTGTTCACACAGCAAGACGGGACGCCAGCTCCCTAGGCCGGCGGGCGAGCCCCAGTTGGTGGAGGAGGCCACGTCCCGAGGGGCCCAGGAGCCCTGCGGTCTGTGTGAGGCCTGCTGCCCCCTGCCCCAGGGATCCTCCCCGAAGCCTGGCACTCCACCGTCTGGCGCAGGCTCCACAGTACAGCGGCCACCCGCCATCGGGGGCCCCTGGCCAAGCGCAGGGAGCCGGGCGCTGGAGCCACAAGTTCCTTCGCTACAGGTGGGGCATCTCGGCAAGGCACTGAGCTTCCCTTGCTTCAGTTTCTTCATCCATAAAAAGGGGACAGAAAAAGATGACAGCGCTGCACGCTGAACTGCCAGCCCGGCACACATGAAGTGTCATGAACGGCTCTTCCTCTTCTGCTTTCCAATCTCATTAAAAACATGCGTGCCCCTCGAGCACGGTATCTTCAGGCCTCCACAGGACCCTTCCTTCCGGAAAGGAGGGGTAGGCAGCGGAAGGGAGGGTGCAGAGGGGAGGCTGACAAACCCCCTCCTGCGTCTCTGCTCTCCCTCAGCAAAGGGGGCCCGGCCAGGCAGTGGAGGGAAGCTGACTTGGTGGCACTCAGCACCGATGTCTATCAGCCTGGAGATGGAAGCCAGCGGGCCTGAAACCATGGATGGGGCCTGGGGCCTCTGCCACGGGGCAGGTGAGCGGACCACAGACTGCCCACCATGGTCCTAGACCAAGGCTGGTCGACAGAGGGCCGAGACGGTCCAGGGGCCACAGGGGCACCAGGAAGGTGTGTGTCCTGGTTTCTGTGGCCGATGAGAAGGGAGCTGTGCTGTCCACAGGCCTGGGATGGCCATTCCTCTCCCGCCAGGCCCCACTGTCCCCAGCTGGCTTCCTGCGGAGGGACTCACCTCCGATGTGGCCGTCCCAATGGCGCAGCCCCCGGTTCCACCCCGCCACGGGTGTGCGAGAGGGATCTGGAGCCGCACGGCCAGAGCTCCACAGCACGGGCCTTGAGGCCTCGGGGCCACCTGCTGCCGTGTGACGCAGGCACATCGCTGACACTCCAAGCCTCTCTTTCCCCTGTAGGTCGCCCTTGCACCTACCTCACAGGTCTGCGGAGTAAACGAGATGCCCCCTGTGTGTTCATCGCTGTGACCTGGGGCCTAAAACACCGCATGCCGAGGCAGAGCCTTGGCAACAGTGCAGGACCCCAGGTGACATGGCCGGCGCAGCATCTGACACCTGGGCATCTCCGGGCACAGTCCCACTGGGCTGCCACGGCCACCGTCTCCGCCTCACTGACATCTGCTCGCTCCCACACTGCTGAGAGCTCTGGAAAACCACCTCTGGGTGGCCTTGGACCCCTGCTGCTCACCCACCAAGCATGTCCCTCTCCCCCGGTCTTCCCTGAGGCCCAAGGGAGCTGCCCATCACTCCACTCCCAGGAAGTCTGTCCCCTCCAGTGTGATGGCCTCTCGCCCCTTCTCCAGAAGCCCAGCAAGCCAGGCCTGGGCACAGGGAGTGAGCAGCTCCAGGGAGCAGGGTGCGTGGCCCTGAGGCAGGGGGGGAGGGACGTCACCGTGGCTGTGACATCAGATTCCTGTCCTGCAGGTCCCCTCTGTTCTGGGCACGGCCGCTTGCCCGCTCCCAGAACATGGGCACGGCCTCCCCAAGGGCAGGGCTGGCTGGCCTCCTGGGGCGGGGTGGCCGGGCGCCCTGTCTCTCTACACACAGGCTCTAGGTCAGCAGGTCAGTGTGTGCAGCTTCCTCCTGGGAGGCCCGGAACACTCACAAGGTGGCTGTGTCGCCCCCGCAGGGACAGCTCTGCTCATTCAGGGTGGGGAGGGCCAGGACTCAGCCGTGGAGGAGACGCAGGGGGATGGATGCCTCGAACAGGGGTCAGGAGGCACATTTACCATCTAAGGGCGGTAAGCCACATCTTACCACCAAGCTCGCGGTCTCCACAGAGACGCCCTACCCTCTGAGACCAGGAACCCACCCGCCATCAACCTCATCCACTCAGCGAGGTCTATAAGGCCCCTTAGGTCAGGAGCAGTCGGGGCTGGGTCCCCCGAGCCCCGGCTGAGTGAAGTTTAACCGTCGCCAGTGCCATCCCATCCCCGTCACTGTCCGGGTTCCCGCCTCGCCTTCCTCCTCCCACGTGGACAGGAGCCAGGTGAGCGGCAGGGCAGAAGGGCAGCCTGGCTCCCGCTCCAGGGCCCAGACCCGGGGTCCCACGGGGAGCTCAGCTCCAGCCTCAGGCACCAGCACTGTGGCCGGCCCCCCCATGCCAAGTGGTCCCCCCACAACAGGCGCCTCTTACCAGGCTTTGGGATGAGTCCTTGGAAGGGCCTGGAAGAGAAAGAGAGACGGAAGTGTCGGTGGGGGGCGGGGGGCCTGGGAGCTCATGAGAACTGTCTACCGCCTCAGAATCGGCATTTTAACAAGATGCTCGGTGATTCACGTGCACAGGCGGGACACTGTGACTGTGGCAGGAAGGTGACAGGGTGTCCTGCTAGCTCTGCCCGGGCTGGCTCTGCAAGCTTGGGCAAACCACTTGTCTGGTGTCCCCCCTCTGAAGTGGACGAGTGCCTCTCCTGGGGGCTATGGGCAAGAAGGGCCCACGAGGGCCGCCTTGCTGCGGCGGCTGAGGTGGGGCTGGGTCTCACCTCTGTGGGGCTCCCCGCAGCCCGGCTGGCCTGCAGCCCCCCTCAGCCCCCCGGGATGGCGCTGGGAGAGCTGTCTGTCCAGCAGGGAGGGCAGGACCCCAGCAGCACCGGCTGGAGGGAAAGGCCAAGGTCCCCTGGAGCAAGCCCGCCCACACTGGTCTTGCCTCCTCCCTCCCCCGGGGTACCTGGTGACCGTGAACTTGATCTTGTCGGCCACCGCAAGGATCCTCTCCAGGTTCTGGGAGCCGAAGGTGCAGGGCTTTCGGAACGGGATGCCTGGGGGCAGCCCCTCAATGATCACTGAGCCGGGGTTGCTCTTGATCCGCTTGTAGGGGACCTGCACCGGGTACTTGATGCCCAAGGCTTCCCCTGTGGACGAGAGGGACAGAGGAAGTGCTGTCAGGAGCCAGAGGCGATGCCGGCGTGTGGGTGTGACGATGCTCCGCGCACGAATGGGACAGGTCACGCACACAGGGGTGTGAGAAAGCTGTCGTGTGGCACGTGGAAGGGCGCGGCCGGTGGAGGATTGGGAGTCAGGGGGTGTGTGGTGCAGGGCCAGGGCCGGGCGGGGCAGGTGTGGCCACAGCTTCTGGGGAGAGGACAGCAGCTGAGGCTGCTCAGCCTCACGGCCTGGGGACCGAGAGCCCGTCTCGAGGATGGCCCCTTGGGGGCACAGCCGGCCCTGCCTGTTCAGGACCGGCTGGCTGGGGGGCAGACTGCACCGGGAGCAGGGAGCCGGTGGAGGCCAGCCAGGGGTGGCTCAGACCCCGGGCCCTCCTCCTGCGTTGGGCGCTGGCCTCGTTCCTGGCACCAACCCCCTGTGGAGGGCTGGGCCTGCCCACCCCAGCGACTGCACTCGCTCTCACAAGTGGCCTGGGGGCAGTCCCGGGGAGGGGTGGCTGCTGCTGCCCCATCCTCAGCCGGGGCCATCCCTGAGGCTCCCCCCTGTGGTCCCTGCCCGTGGGGGCAAGGACCTCATGTAGGCACTGCAGCCCTGGATGCTGTGAGGCTGGCATGAGCATCCATGGCTCCCCGAGGCTCAGATGGGTCCACCCCTGGAGCCCCTCCTGGACCAAGGGAGGGAGCTCACAGCACCCCCCAACCCAGGGCTTGTTGAGAGACCCACCCCAGGGTGGCAGGATGCTTCCTATGATGACACATTGCAGAAATCTCCACACGTCTCAGCCCTGGGAGGAAAAGCTCGACTTTTTCTGTGCAATAAACTAATGTTTTCTCATGGACACTGGGAATGGCATAACTGACCTCCCTCCCCTTTTGCTCTGGCTCCCAGGAAACTCAGAGCCTGATTTGTGCCCTGCATCTAGCAAGGACAGAATTTCTGTGTCTTCCTGCTACCCCCAGCTTCTTGCCATGGCTCCAGCCTGTCTGTTTTTTCTACAATTGAGATAGAATTCACATACCATAAAATTTACCATTTTGAAGTGTATCCAGCGGTTTTTAGTACACTCATGAGGCTGTGAGATCACCACTATCCAACTACAGAATATCTTCATCGTTGCAAAGAGAAACCCCATGCCCTGTGCAGTCACCCCCATGCCCTGGCAACCACTAATCCACCTTCTGTCTCCATGGATATCCAGCCCGTCTTTAATTCCTTATCCTGACTTTGCTGCTGACAAGTTCATATGCCATTGCAAAGAGATCCTTTTTGAAATGAAAAAAAATCAGACAGAAAGGAAAATTGACCCCCACAATCAATGAGAACCCTGTCGTCTCTGCCTCTTCACCTCTCGCCTCCAGAACGGCTCTTGCTACCATGACCGATGGCCGCCATGTTGCCAAATCCAGTAGCCAATTGTAGTTCTTTCGGCAAAACGCGACATGGATGACCACTCCCCCCACCCCAGCCCTCTCCTCGGCGTCCATCTTCCTGGGTTCCCCTCCTTGATCTGCCCTCTAAACGCCAGGCTCCTTGGCCCTCAGTTTGTAGCCCCAGGAGAGCCAATGGGTCATCTCCACTTATCCCCCAAACTGACCATCCAAAATGGAGCTCACCATCTTCCCCCTCCTCCTTGGGGAGGACACTGCCCCTTCTTCCTGGCTGGCAGTTTCGGTGTCCACCTGTCTCGAGTGGCCCAGGGGCTCCACTCCCTCCTCCTCCCTTGTCACAGTGACAGGTCCAGGTAACCCCATGAGCATGTGGCGGTTCCCTGTCACAGGGACTGGGTAAGGAATGGACATATGACTCAGTGAGGATCAATGAAAACCAAGTGGTGGGCTCAGGGAATTCTGGGAAAGAAACGACCTGGCTCTCTTGGGAGTGCCTGTGGAAGAGCCAGCCCTCTCCCTTCCAGGAGGTGCAGGCGGGCTGTCTGGACTGCTGTGGCCATTCCGTCAGCAAGCAAGAAGCCAGCCTTAGGCGATGCTGAGACGGTGGAAAGATAACAAGGACATCTCTGAGCTGCTGGATCCAGCTGATCCTGAAGGCCACCCTACTGCTGGACTTCTCGTGTTATGAGCTATGGTTGATTATACAGTCCCAAGAAACCTGCACCAATATTTCTCTCATCCCACATGTTCCTCTCTTAACAGTGTACCATCAACACTCCCCCACAGAGAACTAGGACCTGTGTCCCCTCCCCTCGAGCCTGGGTGGCACTGTGTAACTGCGTCAACTAATAAAGTATGGCAGAGGTGATGCATGGCCTGAGGCTGGGTCATAAAGGGCAGCAGCTTCCACCTGGCTGGGAATCCAGCTACCTAGAGGCGCTGTGCTGGAAAGCGACGTGCAGAGATCACATGGGAGTCGAGCGAGATGCCTGAGGGGCCCAGCTGCTCCAGCACCAGCTGGTTCCCTGCCCGGGGGCCACACCTGCAAGTGAGGAAGCTGTCGGGACGGCCCGGCCTCAGTCACCTGACTGCAACCTGGGGAGAGACCCTGAGCGACAGCCACCCAGCTGAGCTGCCCCCGACTTCTGGACTCACTGACGCCCCAAGGGATAGCGAACGGTCACTGTCATTCCAGGCTGCTGTGTTTGGGGTGATCCTTCTGCAGTCCCAGTAACTGAATCAGGAGCCCATTCACCCCCTTACCGGTGAAGCCAGCTTGAGTTTGTTTTTGTTCCTCGAGACCAAAAAGCACCTTAACGGACCCTGGCTCATCTTCCTCAAGCTGGGACTCGCTCGGCCTGGCTGCCTCCCCTGCCTGGCCAGCACAGCCCCAGGGACTCCAGCTGAGGCACATCTGCCCCCGGCTGCTTTTCTCCAGCACCGCCAGCATCTCTCTCGCCTGAATTACGGCTCCAGCCGTGGAGCTGGTCTCCCAGCGTCCCTCCCTGCCCTCCTGCAGCCTTTCATTGTCCTCACTGCAGCCAGGAAGACACTCTACCAGTACAGCTCCAGCCACTTCTGTCCTCCCAACAAAATACAAAGCAACATCACGGTTCCCTCCAAGGCCCTGGATGACTGGGCCCGCCTCCTGGCCAGCTCTACTGGGCTCCTCTTCTCCCCAGCCACTCTCATGCTTCAGCTTGCTGCCCCTTCTTAGAACAAGCCTCAGGGCCTTTGCACGTGCTATTACCTCAGCTACAATGCCTTTCCTTCCCACTCTGCTTGAGTAAGTCCTCACTCATCCTCCAGTTCTTTCTTCAGAGGCCTTCCCTGGCTCCCAATAAAGTAAATACCCAAATTGTTCTCTCGTGAGCAGCCTGATATTTTCCTGCATAATGGGACAATTCCTCACTGTTACTGGATTCTGTGTATAGCTGCTGAATCTGTGTCTCACCTCACAGGTCGACACGGCCCACGAGGGCAGGGTCTGTGTCTGTTATATTCACTACTGTCTCCCCGGTGCCTGGTGCATAATTAGTGCTCAGAAAGTATTTGTAAGTGGATGAATGGTTTTCCCAGAGTGATCACGGCCAGACCTGGGAAGCTCCGGCCCCTGCCCTGCCGTCATCCCTCCCCTGCGCCCAGGGCTCACCGTATTTCTTATTGAACAGGTCCTGGACCTGCTCCCTCAGCGTGTTGGCGATGTCGATCCGTGAGAGTCGGGCGTCGTAATTTTCTGCAAAGTGAAAAACAATTATGGATTTGAGCTGTTAAATTAAAAGGCACTTGGTGACTTTTAAGGAATACGATTTCCTAATTATAAGGAACTCCTTCTCTGGCAATTATCAGCTCCTCGGAGGGGGCCCCCCAGAGTCCTTCAGAACCAATATCTTCACGGAGATGGGTTTTTCCAGAAGGACTCACACCGTTGCGACAACAGCAGTGAGTCAGAAATTAAGTTAATTGTTGACATTTGAAAACTGCCAAACCAATAAATAAGCCCTGAAGGTGAGATCCACGGGAGAGGCAGGGGTCCCTGACAGTCGGTGGGGAGAGGGGAAGAGGGCACAGCTCAGCCAACGGGGCGGCCCCTCAAGGCAGAAGCTGGCCTGGCACCTCCCGGGGCCACTCCCTCACCCAAAGCGGCCTGAGAAGGAGCCCATGTGCCAGCACCGCCCTGGGCCCCGGGCCCCTGACCCCGCGAGATTGCAGCCCGGCTCTGCTCCTGGGCAGAGAGTAGGGGCCAGGTGGGAGTGGATCTCTGGGCTGTTGGATGGAGGGAGTGAGGACCCTGGTCTGCTAAAAGGGCTGGGGATGAGGAGCCATGGGGTGAGGAGAGATATGAACTTCTCTCATGACAGAAAGTTCTAGAAAGGAGTGAGAGAGACTGGGCAGTGAGCAGCTGCCCCTCCAGGATTTGGGTCTTCTCTCTCCGGGTTCCCCCACTCCCAGAGCTGGCCCTTCCTGCCACTGGTCTCACTGACCCCACTTTCTCCTCAGAGCCACAGTGACCACCCAGGGCCACCCACCCGGATCACTCCCAGCCACATCCTGGAGCTGCCCCGGCAGGCATGGGGATGGCTGTTCTCAGCCATGGCCCCGCCCCGGATGCCACACTTGATCTTGCCCAAAGGCCGAGAAGCAATACAATCCCCGTCCCTGATGGGAGGGCCGGAGGAGCCCCCTGGCTCTCGCCCGACCCCCGCCTGCTTGTTTCTCTGTTTCTCACGCCCAGTGGCCACTCAACACCTTCACTCAAGGCACTCCCCTTCCCCGTCTCTCCCTGGGCTCCCTCCTCTGCCCCCTCCCAGCCGGCTGCAGTCCCCTCCTCCAGAGAGCCCTCCTGGCCCTTGGTGCCCTGTCCCTCCTCTGGTGCCAAGGCACGAAGGGCTCGGCGGGTGGCCAACACACGGTGGGCAGCTGGCTGGCTCTAGCGCCCTGGGCCCCACTGTCCCCACCCCAGCGCCCCCCACGGAGCCCCTCCCTCAGAGCTGGCAGGCAACAACCCTGCCCCGGCTGCCAACCCCTCCCACCCCAGCCTGGCCCTCCAAACCCCAGCCAGGTCAAGGTCCTGGCACCGGGACAGCTGACCCCCTCCTGAGCTGCCACCTTACCTTGAAAGCCCTGCCTCTTCAGGCTCTCGTCCACCAGAGGGTCCCCGGAATCCCTCTCTGGGGGCGGGGGAGAGAAGCCACATGAGCAGGCAGCTCCTGGGACCCGGGGACAGAGGTGGAATCTGGTGGGGCAGACCCGACGGGAGGGTGGTGGGGGAGTCCTAGGGGAGGAGGGGACCAGGACCGAGGAAGCAGGAGGAGGGTGCTGGCACAGGCCTGGGACCCCCCAGTGCCCGCCCGTGACCCCGAGCAGGGTACCTTGGCTGTCCGTGACGGGCTCTTTGACTCCCTCGGTGAGCAGTTCGGGCCTGGAAAATACCACCAGCAGGGCTGTCACCAAGGTCGCTCCAGACCCCCTGGTCCTGCTCACCTGCCTCTCGGGGCCTCAGTCTACAAATCCATGCAATGGGCGGCCCCCCGCCCCCCGTCCCCCCCACTCTGGACAGCCCAGGTCTGGGTCCCTGCCCCAGCTCCCAGCCCCGGGCAGCTATCCTGCTGACCCAAATGGGAGATGTGGCGGCTGCACTGGGCTCTGAGGATTCAGCCGGAGCAAGAGCAGCCCAGCCTGGTGCTGAGAGGCTGACACCCTCACCTGGGCTCCAGGACCCTGTATGTCTGCCACCGCCCAGGGCAGAGACGTGGTCCAGGGGGCTTCCCACAGAGGGGACTTGAAGTGTGGAAGCAGTCGGGGCTGACTGGGCGGCGAGGTCTCGGAGGGGCAGGCGGGGTCCAAGGCATCTGGCTGACACCAGAGTCGGGGGCCCTGGGGACCAGGCCCAGCTCTGCAGGGACGTCTGTGTCTCCACAGACTCCACAAGGCCCTTCCCAGCACAGGTCACCCGCCCTCTGCCCTTGAGGCGGGACTGTTCCCATGGTCCCGTCCATGTCCCATCGGAGGGCGAGGAGACTGAGGCAGCTGGACGCTGAGTCACATGCCCCAGGGCACATGGCCAGAGGAGGGGTTAGACCTGGGTGCCCCACCCCTCCCCACCCCCAGCCTCTCCAGCTGAGGGACCCCGCCCCCGGGCCTCTGCTTTCTCATCTGAAATGGGATAACCCTGCCCTGGCTCAAAGAGAGGGGAGGGGGCCCCCCAGATCCAAGTGTGCTAAGGCGACACAGGACGCTGGAAGTACTGAGACCCGGGAGTTGGGACCCTGTGCACCTCGACTGTCACAGGGGACTGTGGGAATGTCATTCCACTCCCTGGGCCTCAGTTTCCCCATAAGGAGAAGGGGAGAGGTGGCAATGGGGGCTCTAAATGCAGCCTGAGGCCTTTCAGCTCCTGAGATTGTGGGTAAGGGCAGGGCTGTGCCTCGTCCCTCCTCGGCCCTGGCCTTGGGAGCTCAGCTCTGTGCCAGGCGGCGGGCTCATGCCCAGAGCTCAGGCAGACCCATCCGCACACAGGAGCCCGGCCCAGCATCCCTTTCCTTCCGGAGATGTGAAGGAGGGGCTCTGCCACCTGCCCACCCCACCAAGCCTGTCAGCCTCCTCCGGCCAGCCTGACGCCACCAGTGCCCTCAGCCTGCCACAGACCCCAGACTCCCCCACCCGGACAGGCCTGCTCTAGCTGGACAAAGGCTGTGCTGAAAAGGGGCATTTAGAATCAGTGATGGGCGAGGAATTCTGTCTGGTCCACGCCCCTGGTTCCTGGGAGAGAACCTCAAATCTTTGGAGTCTCTCCAGTGACAGGAGTGTCTTTGCTATTCACAGTGGGACCCTTGATCACACCTAAATTTATGCTAATAAGATGACTCATGATTCAGGAAGCCTCCAGCGAGTGGAGCCCCCTGATAACAGCTCACCTCCTGACTCCTAGAGAGGGGAAGGGGCTGGAGATGGAGCTCAGCCAAACGGCCAATAATCCTACTCAGCATTCCCACCTACCGAATCCCAAGACAAACTGTGGACACGAAGCTCGCTGGAGCTGCCGAGATGGGGACACACCACGTGCTGGGAGGTGCCGGGCCTTGTTTCACGGGCAGAGGGCGTGGGGGCTCTGAGTGCGGCACCCTCCCAACCCTCACCCTCTTGTGTCTCCTCATGTGTGTCCTTTATACAAAGCTGTCCTCGTAATATAGCATTTTCCTGAGTTCTGTGAGCGTTCTAGCTCATTACCGAGCCTGGAGGAGTCGTGGAAAGCCCCAAATTTGGAGCCAGTCACTCAGAAGTGCAGGTGGTCTAGGGACCCCTGAACTTGTGGCTGGCGTGTGAAGTGGGGGCAGCTTGGCTGAGGACCGTGCCCTAAACCTGTGGGGCCTACAAACTCCAGGCAGTCATCGTGAGACCCACACTGCAGCCCCGCCACCACATGCAGCTTCCCCCCACATCCGCCCTGGACCTCCGTCTCTTGTCCCTGTGAATCCACCCAGGCTTTAATTTCTCTTTTTTTAAAAATTATTTTATTGAGGTCATAATGGTTTATAACATTGTGAAATTTCAGGTGTACGTTGTTATACAATGTACATGGTGAAATTTCAGGTGTACAACGTACAGGTGTATATTGTACAGACTGCATCGCGCTCACCAGTAATGGTCTAATTTTTATCCATTACCGTATATATACATCCCTTCACCCCTTTTGCCCACCCCCCAACGCCCTTCCCCTCTGGTAACCACTAATCTGTTCTCTTGTCCGTGTGTTAGTTTATCTTCCACATATGAGTTAAACCATACGCACTTGTCTTTCTCTGTCTGGCTTATTTCGCCCAACATAATACTGTCAAGGTCCATCTGTGTTGTTATGAATGGGACAATTTTGTCTTTTTTATGGCTGAGAACTATTCCATTGTATATACCCCACATCATCTTTATCCAGTCAGCAGTCCATGGGCCCTTGGGTTGCTTCCACATCTTGGCTATTGTGGACAGTGCTGCAATGAACATACGGCTGCATAAGTCTCTTTGGATTGTTGATTTCAAGTTCTTTGGATAAATACCCAGCAGTGTGACAGCTGGCTTGTATGGCAGTTCTATTTTTAGTTTTTTGAGAAATCTCCATACTGTTTTCCACAGTGGCTGCACGAGTTTGCATTCTCACCTTTCATTTCTAATCTTATTTCTTTGAAACCTTTCTTTTTTCTTGGTGAGTCTGGCTAAGGGTTTGTCAATTTTGTTTATCTTCTCAAAGAACCACCTCTTAGTTTCATTGAGCCTTTCCTACTGTTTTTGTTTTGGTTTCTATTTCATTTATTCCTGCTCTAATTTTTATTATTTTTCTCCTTCTGCTGACTTTGTTTGTTCTTTTTTTCTAGTTCTGGTAGGTATAGTTTAAGATTACCTATTTGAGATTTTTCTTCTTTGTTGAGGTGGGCTTGTACTGCTATGAATTTCCCTCTTAGAACCACTTTTTGCTGCATCCCCTAAGAGGTGGTATGATGTGTTTTCATTTTCACTTTTCTCCAGATATTTTCTGATTTCTTCATTGATCCAATGGTTGTTCAGTAGCATGTTGTTTAGTCTCCACATATTTGGGACTTTCCCAGCATTTTTTCTTATAGTTGACTTCTAGTTTCATAGCATTATGGTCAGAAAAGATACTTGATATGATTTCGATCTTGTTAAATTTATCAAGCTTGCCTTGTTTCCCAACATATAGTCTATCTTTGAGAATGTTCCAGGTGCACTTGAGAAGACTATGTATTCTGCTGTTTTGGGATGGAATGTTCTACTCTTATCTATTAAGTCCATCTGGTCTAGTTTTTCGTTTACTTCTACTATTTCCTTGTTGACTTTCTGGTTGGATGATCTATCCATATTTCTCCCTCTAGGTCTGTTAATAGTTGCTTTATGTACTTTGGTGCTCCTCTGTTAGGTGCATTTGTATTAATAAGTGTTATAGCTTCTTGGTGGAATGTCTCTTTTATCATTATACACTGCCCCTCTTTGTCTCTCATGGCCTTTTTTATCTTGAAGGCTATGTTGTCTGATATAAGTATGGCAACACCTGCTTTATTTTGTTTGCCATTTGCTTGGAGTATCATCTTCCATCCCTTTACTTGGAGCTTATGTTTGTCTTGAGAGCTGAGATGTGTTTCCTGGAGGCAGCATATTATTGGGTCTTGTCTTTTAATCCATCCAGCCACTCTGTGTCTTTTGATTGGAGAATTCAATCCATTTACATTTAGAGTGATTATTGATATAGGAGGGCTTAATGCTGCCATTTTATCTCTTGCTTTCCGGTTGTTCTATATTTTCTGGTTGTTCTATATTTCCCTTGTTTCTCTTCCTGTGTATTTCCTTTTTTTTTTTTTTTTAACACTTTTTAAAATTCTTCTCCCCAAAGCCCCCCAACACATAGTTGTATATTCCAGTTGTAGGTCCTCTGGTTGTGCTGTGTGGGACACTGCCTCAGCAAGGCCTGTGAGGGGTGCCATGTCCACACCCAGGACCCAAACGGGTGAAGCCCTGGGCCGCCAAAGCAGAGTGCACAAACTTAACCACTCGGCCACGGGGCCAGGCCCTCTTCCCGTGTATTTCTGACTGCCATTTCAGTTTGGTGATTTTCTATGATGGTTTTCTCAGTTTTCTCTTCATTTATCAGTGTGTCTCTCTTCTGATTTTTATTTAGCGGTTACCATGAGGTTTGTATAAAAGATCTCATAGATGAGATAGTTCATTTCCTGATAGCCTCTTGTCTCCATTAGCCTAAGCAGGTTCCACCCCTCTCCTCTTCCCCTTTTGTTATTGTCACAACTTATTCCGCATTTCGTTGTGAGTTTGTTATTAAAATGAAGTGTTTATAGTTATTTTTGATGCTTTCTTTCCCTTTATCTTTAATGTTACAGTTAAGTGTTTGCTAATGTGTTCTGATAGACAGGTGCAGTCCTCCTTGCTCAAGGCTCTGTAAACCTTTTCCTTTTGTTTCAGGTGTGAGGGCCTTCTTGATCATTTCTTGTAGGGGGCTCTTGTGGGGATGAACTTCCTCAGCTTTTGTTTATCTGGGAAAGTTTTTATTTCTCCATCGTATCTGAAGGATAGTTTCACTGGCTTGAGTATTCTTGGCTGACACTTTGTTTTTCAGTATTTTGACCATATCATTCCACTCTCCTCACCTGTAAGGTTTCTGCTGAGAAATCTGCTGAAAGGCTGATAGGGGTTCCTTTGTAGGTTATTTTCTTCTGCCTTGCTGCCCTTAGTATTTATTCTTTGTCATACTTTTGCCAATTTTACTAATATATGCCTTGGAGAAAGTCGTTTGACGTTGATGTAATTAGGAGTTCTACTAGCTTCATTTATACGTAATTCCAGTTCCTTCCCCAGGTTTGGGAAGTTTTCAGGTATTATTTCTTTGAACAGGCTCTCTGCTCC